CCAAAATAAAAAAGAATAAAGAAAAAGAAGGAAAGAAGGTTTGCAATCACAGCAGATTCAGCTTCATGTCTGCTAGGAAGTTTGTTGGTCGTAGCTGTGCGCATGAATGCAGGATCCGTTACATTAACCTTCTCATTCACCCTATGATGAGGATAAAGTCTGGAGGAGTGTAGACGGTGTCCTCCTGTGAACCCCCTTTTACACTAAAACACTGCCAATACGCTATTATACAGTAGTTGTCGTCTGGAACACGTCAAATACGTTGATATGCACTGGAGATAAGTTCTTGATAAGTTACGCATAAGTTATGCACAAGTTACTCAGGTTTTTGATAAACTAGACACCACAACTTATGGGTAACTTACTCTTAACATATGTCAACGATCATTTTCCGTACGTCAGGCATTATGCTGTCTAAATCGTCAAGGTGTGACATTTTCATTAAAATGCAGAAACTGAAATCTATTATCAAGAGTTTACTGGCCTCTTTAAGTATTAAGAATCTGGTTTTATTGTTTGTCTTGTTGCCCAAATTTATGGTAAGTTACCCAGACTGGAAGTCTACTAGTTTCTGGCTCAGCTGTTGGAGTTCTTGGGTTTTTCATTTTGATTTTAGAAGGGGATTTAACATAGAGAACTTGACCTAAGTGAGATGAACATATATATACCCCCCCCCCAAAAAAAAAAGAAAGTACACAAAAATGCTGCAAGAAGTTTACATAAAATAGAAAGGAATATGATTTAAAGCTTGTGGTGGCAACAAAAACACAAATATAGACTTGAGGTAGAATTATGAACATACTCAGAATGATTGGACTGTTATTTTTAATTTCCTTTTTAAGAAACAAATTTGGTTACAGGTAAAAATAACATGCTATTAAACAAATGGTTCTTGGTTGCAGTACCTTTTTTCATGTACTCGTGATTAGCTAAATATTGCTAGGATTTTGCTTTCAAAAGTGATGAGGAAATCAGAAGAAATGGTTCTTCTAGTTTGCACATATTTGTTTATAGGGTGTTTATATGAGTTAGGTTAGTGTGTTAGGATGCACAAGGTAGATCCAAAGGGTGGGAAGCAGTCAGCAATCTTAGAGGATTATTGATGATAAAAATAAGGTGTGACTTGGCTTTCAGGCATGCCTCTTATATCCTCTTTCCTTCATGAACCAGTGTCCCGTGAAATTGGGCTCTAAATTACGAGACCACATGAAGGTTTTAAAAACGATCCACTGGCTTCTAAGGACGTTGACTGGACTAAAATAGTCGACGGGAGACAGTCCATGGGCCTGGCTTTTGTTTGGGTCTGGTCCAGTGTTGATAAAAAAGACAGAATGTTTTTCTTTATCTCCTTATAGAAGATGGGAAGGATATATCAGCTTCATCCCTGTCATCATTATCAGATACAACACATGAAAGTTTGCAAAGATTTTGATATTAGTGTTATAAATCAGTCCTGTTCCTTGTTTGTCTTGGTATGTGCTCCTCCTTACAGTAAAATGTTGTCTATATTTGAATAATAAGACTTATCTTACAGAGTTACTGTTCTGCTGGCCACCACTATCCCTCACTATCACCCTGTTTCGCTCCTCCCACTCTCTTCTTTCTCTTTAATCATACATCCCTTCACCCACACACACAAACTAACGCACATTCCTCATTTAGTTTTTTATCTTCTACCATGGCCCTCACCTCTCCTTGTCCCTATTTTCTTCCACTCAAGAGAAAGTAGAGATATAGGTTTTTCAAACATGGCTCAACCTTCCTTTTTCATCAGACTGTTGAGTTGAGGCTAAATCTAATCACCTGTCTTACTATAAAGCTTAGATGGATCTTCTCACGGGAATGGAGGTTATGAAGTATTTTCCCTATAAACAGCTCAGCTAGACCACCAGCTAAATTTAATCAGAACTCTAAGTGGATGGACTTAAATGTCTTTCAACAACCTAAAGCAATATTTGATCTAAAAATTGGAACCATGTGGTAGCAGGTTTTACTTTATTAAATACTTTAGCTTTACAAAATATGGTATTTCAATTAACCTTATCTACATTTTAAAGAGACACTCTTAAAGCTGAAGTCTGTAAGTTTTTAAAAATCACTTTTTTGTCATATTGGCTAAAACTGTCCCTATGCCCAGACAGCAGTACATGTGATACGTAACCTGTGAAAAAAACTGCTTCAATTGGTACCGCCTACTGCCTGTATTTCAATCTGGAAAGAATAATTCGGGACGAGTCAAAACAACCAATCACAGCCAGAGGAGCGTCTGATGGAGTGTCAATCACAGCTCACGCACGCTGAATCCCCTCCCTTTTGGTCGCATGCGGTAGCCGTGCAGATGCTGTGAGAGGGGTGGAGCTTGGAGGTGGGGCATGAGTGAAGCAGAGAGGGTGGGGGAGTGGCGTGAAACCTGTTTTTCTTCAAATTTTCAGTCGAAGTCTGCTCTCTTCTCAATGTTACAGACTGCAGCTTTAAGTCATCAATGACGTTGAAATGAACATAAACTTATCCTGCTTCACCTCCCTTTGTCAGATACAGATAGGGCAAGGCAAGGCAAGTTTAGCTGTAAAGCACAATTCAGTACATGGACAATTCAAATTGCTTTACATGAATTAGATAATAAAATTGTAGAAAGGTAAAAGCAGAATAAAGGCAAATGGGGAAAAAATAAAATAAAAATGCCCTTCCATATATTCAACAAAACCAAGTTTTAATGTTAAAAGTAAGATATCAAAAGGCTGAGCTTTTCAAAGAAAGATGACCTGATTGGTTCATCCGTATGCTGAAGGGACATCAGGTAGAAATAGTAATCTCTTACTAGAATCCACCACTCAGGCAGGTAACCTACAAGAGGAGGACAGAACTCAATTTCAGCATTAATGGAATATGCCATGGTTAATGTGCCATCTACTGGAGCAGAACACACGGTCAGCTTGGGGTCAAACCAGATCACGTGGGTTCACAGCTATTGCTAATTTATATGTATGATGTGTAATTGTGAATTTAACACCAACCTTTTAGTGATTCATTATTGTCCTGCATCAGTCAACTGCATTGCACTGTTAATATAGGAGCCTTGATGCATTATTAGTGAATAATTTTAAAGTTTAATAAAGGATTGTTCTTAATCAGTTATAGTCATGTTTAAGCTCACATAACATTCCAGTTATACTAGCGTAAAGGCTGATACACACAATTAAGAATCTAAGCCAACAGAAACAAACCATATAAAATTTTAGAAATGTTTTAAAGGATTGTGGCCATGCAGAATGTTTGTGATCCTCTGCTACTCTGCCAATGTAGTTCCTAACAAGGAACACCCCAGATCTATTTCATTTGGACCTAAGCAGCAACTTCATGGGAAAGTCATGAGTTTAAAAATATAAGAGACCCTGTGGCAAAGTCAAATACATTAGCTTTATGAAAAATACAAAAGTAAAATCTCTGAATCTTAAGGAAAACCAGGTTTGTTCCTTTGTAGGTTCATCCAGAAACAAACAGTACACATTTTTTGCATAAGCTGGACAGACATAGATGGTCAATGAAATATTTAAATACACCCTGTACTTACTGTAGGAAATCAGAAGTACAGTAAAGAGATTAAATAGAACAGCAATCTTCTTTGAGCTGGGCAAAGCAAGGCAAGGCAAGGCTTTATGCTGCAGCTTTATGCTTTCTACATGTCTTTATGCTGAGGGAATTTCAGTTACATATTCTAACCTCTGTACAGACTTTCCTAATCAGCTTACTTTATTTAAACCTAATGTCTTACTGGAATTATATTTATCACAAACACCATGTATCTTATCTATAATGGTTATTAAGAGGAGGCATGTTTAATCTCCTTTGCTACAAAAATTACATATTGCTGTCTCTTAAAAAATCATGAATAACAGATACCTTTTTTACTGCTTGGTCAGACAAAAGTAAAATTAGACCAAATAAAAACCTTTACATCTTAATGGATCTGAACTAAATACCACAAACCACATAACAAATGTTACAAAGAGCATATCTTTCATCTGATGGAGCATTGTCTTGTTTAAAAAAAACTTCTATGTCCAATATACAGGCTATTCAGAACACACTCTCACAATCTATAAAGCTGATTGTAATTATGCTGTGTTTTATGTTTCTGGAAAGAACAGCATAAAAATCCATTGTAGCTATACAGAGGCTCAATTGGTAGTTTGATTTTCATGAAGAAAAACCTAAATAAGATTATTTTAGCTTCTTCCTGAAATGTACCTTAGTGTGTGGAAAATGCTTGTCTACAATTTTTTTATTAAAATAAATTAGTGCCCATCTATGAAGTATGCATGTTACTTTTTATGCTCTCGCAGAATCTCAATATTATATTTCAGTGCAGAACATTTATTCGTCAAGCACAGCTGAACCTTTAAGTTCTAGAATGGGTCCCGTAGTATAAAACTGTTATGTGTCAATTTTTTGTCTACATTTCTAAAGGGATCTTTGGAATGTATCTAAAACTTTGTTTGAAAACAAACCAATAAAAAAATCCTTTGTACAATATATTTATGTGTTTCTATTTTTTTGTAAAGAGCATTAGCAATGGTTGCATTGTGCATTTATGTTTTAACCTAATTATATACATTTATTCATTCAAAAACATGTTATAACATCAGGTTTCTTGTCGTTATTTTAGATTTTATCCACCATTTTATAATTGTTTACACTTATGTTTTAGCCTTTTCCAACTTTGATTTTATGGGTGTTTTTTTGCTTTCAACGTGTCCTCACTATTGATTCCATTGATTCTATTTCCTCAGTTTGATCATTTCTAGTATCAATTTATATAGTTGCCTTTTAACTACTCCAAAGCAATCTGTGTTACATCAGAGAGTTTAAAAAATGCTAACACAATTTAGATTGATTCTAATTGAACATAAGTTACATCTGTCTTTTTGTTCTATTTCAAAGTGCTTAAATTAGGTTTTGTGGTAGTAATTGTGGATTTTTGTGTTCATTTTAAACTCCAGGGTTACTTCTTGCTTTTTGAATCCATGTTGGACTCAGTCCTGTATGCCAGAGACCTTTACTTGGCTGATGGTGGCTCAGGTAGGTGGTCTACTAATTTATTTAAGCACAATCTTTTTTTTTTTTTTTTTTTTTTTTTTAAGCGCAGGCATACAGTATACAAAATATTCAATCGTACTCAGTTACAGCTCAAACTGTACGATAAATCCACAAGGTTTAAAAGTTCACAGTTCACATTGCATGTTCTTACACTGCTCTGAGCAGTACTCAGATTGCACTTCTCACACTGTATATTCAAAAACAATACGTTGGACTCAGCGCCGAGATGAGTCAAAAACTCTAGAAAAATCCTGAAAAGGGCAAAAACTCGTACAGTCGATGCTTGTCTTAAGATATTCTTTGTTATGCAGTTTAACTGGTCTGATTATGAATTTATTAATAACTGTAGCCAGAGGTTATAGTTGCTTAATTATTTATTCTAATGAAGGTTAATTGATAATGTGGATGTTGATCAAATGACAATTACCCTTGGTATTTGAGCAACTTGCTTACCTTTGTGACTAGTTGTCAATATATGTTAAGACAGAGCTCCAGCAGGCTATAGAGAGTAACTGTGGGGGATGGAAGGAGTACAGCAGAGGATTAGCTGAGCTTGCCAGGCAGGGGGGGGTGAGGAAGTGAAGGCATCAGCTGTCCGATGTCTGAGCTGGAGGTAGGACGGAGAAACAGTTCTTCTAGGATTCAATTAAAACAGCTTTTGTAAAAACCACCTTAAAAGCTCTTCAGAGCATTCCCACTTCATAATTAGTCAAAATAATTTTCTCACTGTTCCATTTATATAAAAAACACTTGACTCAGCTGCCCTCTTCACTGTAGCTCACAGCCACATCTAGTCCCTGACTGGACTTTGCGATGGAAATGTAAACAGAAGTTCAGATTTTTCATATCCTGCAAGTTTCACTTCAATGAATGCATGGTAGTGATCAAATACTCCCGAATTCGCCCAAAAGCCCAGCATTCAGCACGTGAAATTTGCCACCTTTGCCTCGGTCATTTCGCTTCCCTCTAGATCCGCCCTCTACATAGAGATAATGTGGAAATCCTTCACTCCAGCTGAAAAATTCCCTGATCTATACCCACAGTTTTCTCCAACATGTTTCCATTCAATCACTTTGGTGTTCTTTGAACTTTGCCCTAGTTAGAAGGATCTTTTACATACAATCATATATTCCAATGTAAAACGATCAGAGCTTATAGAACACAGCTGCAGTGTTAAGTCTGTTTGAAGTTTATCTCAAAAGAAAAAAATGCACCCTAAATGCACCAGGGAGCGTTATCACAGATCGTTCCTCACAGCAGCTGTAAGACTTTGTAACCTCCAGTGTTCCCAACAACCTGAATAAGTTGTTACATTCATGCTGACTTTGCACAGTTTCTCTCTGAGTCAATTAAATTACCATGCTGCTGTCTTTTGCAAATCTCTGATGTTTCTGCTATTTTCAAATATCCATTACTGTAAAAATGTCCATAGCTGTAAATTGGCTATTTTTTCTCATGGTACAAAGTGTTATATTGTTAAAACACTTTGCAGTACAGTGTTTTATTATTTATATTTTAACTCTTCATTATTATGTTAATCTTATACACTTTTTAAGGTCCACATTTGTGTGACAATTTTTTCCTATAATTTTTATGCTGTTGTAAACACCAGAATTTCCCCTTTGGGGGAAAATAAAGGGATTTTCTATTCTAATTGATTCTATTCTAAAAATAGAAATGTATGCACAAGGTAATTTGAATAGAGCTCTATAGGGTTTGTGTTGGCCACAGAAGGATCTAGTGCGTTTATGTCTCCTCAGTAAAGATTGGTATTTTTTTAATGTTGTATTTGAAACAGCTTAGTGCCTCAAGACACGGGCTTGACACACTTGGAAATTCTTTCCTTTTTTCATCCCATCACTGCCACAAATTCAATGGCTTGTGCCAAATGTGACCATGCTGAGAAACTGTTCCACCATGCTGCCTTTAGTAGCTCCTGGGGACATGAGAAGGGTCACACTTGCAAAGCAACCTACACATACCCACATATATGTGAACACACAAAAGGGGCAGTCAAAATGATGGGTGCCTATAGAGATAAATTTGTTAAAAAATAAGATTTGACAAGTGAGACATGGCCTGAGTGGAACCAGAACTTAAATGTCGGAGGTCAGCGTGTGGTGCTTCATGAATTAAAGGTTGATAGTCCTAGCTCACAATGATCTTTTGAGGTCTATTGCTCACCAGAACGTGAAAAGGTTAAAGGAAGACTCCTGAGGCACGTTTTGTACTTTGTCAGCTATGAAATGAAATTTAAACCACCTCTGAATTTTAGAACGTCACAAAAACACCATTATATGACAGTTACTAGGGGTGTAAATAATAATCGTTTTGTATCGTTGCATCGATCCAACAGCCGACGATCCGATGCATCGATACGTCTGCAAGAGTATCGATTCATTTTTTTTTTCCTCTGGTCTATTTTTATCCATTTGCCCCTGGACGTAATTCTCCCTCCCATGCTGCGGTGGCGCTAAACCTATTTTGCCCTCCTACCTCACTTCCTGGTTATACTCTTATAGCAGTTTGTTGCAGTGTGCTTGACACAGACATTTTTGATTTATGCTCAATATTGAAGCGTGGTCTGAGCTACACACTGTGGGTCTAGAAACGGCCGAGGCGGTGAGGAAGTGGGGGCGAGTTTAGTCCGACGACGGAGGGACATGAAGGCCAAAAAGAGTGGAGAACCAGGTGGAAAAAGGGTCCCAGCATTCTGGCGCACCTCGCTCTTCTAGCGCTCAAACTGCACGAGTTGTTTTCCGTAATTTCGGTCATAAAAACAAAACAAGCCGGCCTCTTGTCTGCGACACTGTCTGTGGTCAGCTACAATTTGGGAGAGGTGCAGCGGAGCGTCTGCAGAGGGCGCGGGGACGTCTGGAGCCGAGGTATTGCATTGCACTCATTGCACTGGTTTTGTACAGTATTTTTGATGCAAGGCCTTTCAGAATCTATAACGCAGGGGTATTATTATTTTTCAGTGAATGAGGTTTTCATAGGAATAGGTGGAGTACAACTTTTCTACTTCTGTTATTTGCGGTTGTTTCTCAAATAAAATGCCTAACGATATTACAGCTTTCATTGATTTATTTCAAGTTTGAAACATTGTCTAGCCTGTAAGGTAAAAAAAAAAAGAACCAATTAATCAAATCGAATCGTATCGTGGTGTATCGAAAATAATCGAATCGTGGGGTCAGGAAATCGATACCGAATCGAATCGCCATGATGGGTGTGATTTACACCCCTAACAGTTACCATCCACTTTATTGACACAGAATCGCAGTAAAGTCTAATGCCATGTTAGAGCAACATACTCATAAACTTTGTTTATGGGGAATCAGGTGTCATATAGTTTTTTTATACCCATTATGTAGGTCGCCATTTAGTTATATTTGATAAATATATCATATTTTAATGTGTTAGTTTTTATTATGTCAGCATTTAGCATATAATATGACAGTATTTAGAATATGATGATGGAAAGAAAACTCAGCTTTTTAAAAATTATTGCCCAGGAGGAGTAAACCATAAATTAACTAATTAAGTAATCATTTGCATTCCTGTTTGCATTTATTTTAAAATGCATTGTAAAAAGATGTACACATCAACATATTTTTGTAATTATGCTTTCTCTCATTTAGAAGTTAATTTTCCCTGAATCCGCAATAAAGAATAAAAGATGACTCAAATGAGTTCTTAGACGTACTCGTAAAACATTAGTTAAATAATACTTTGGCATTACGCTTAGCCCTAATTTCAACCAATAGTCCCAGTAACAAATTAAACACTGAAATAAGCCAAAAATGCCGTTAAATATAATCTGATCTTATTATAACTGTCAGAAATTTCAGCTGGACACAGTTACATTCTTGCCTAAATCATTCTCACTTAAAATCTGTTTAGTTTCTGTCAGAGATAGAATATTTCATGAAATTCTAATCAGAGTTTTTGTGCTTTGTTTTTGCCATAACTTTTTTGAGCCATAGTGAGTCATGGGATAGGATAGGATGGGCATTGCTCACAAGGGAACTTAGGATTTACTACCCTCTGCAGCTGCTTTGGTGAACTGCTTTTGATGTATGGTATTGCTGACAATGAAATATATTTAGAGATGGAGTAACACATACTGTTCTTTAAAATCAATATGATTTATTTTGTTGACAAATAATTTCAACCTTACATTTTGACTGCTAGATATACATGTTTTCTTATATTTGAATTTGAGAAACACAGTTTTTTACCTGTGCTCATTATAAGTGGAAAATTCTCCATCCTTTTTTTTTTTGTTTATGACCTGATATGTTGCTGTTTAAATCTAGAAAGTGCATTGTATAATGCAGAGAAGATGGAGTGCTATACTCCAGAATAGCAAAGTCATTAGGGGGGCCACATGCCGAAGGCATGGCCCACCTACTACTATCTCACATATTTATTCCGCGTATTATTAGGGGGGCCACATGCCGAAGGCATGGCCCACCTACTACTATCTCACATATTTATTCCGCGTATTATTAGGGGGGCCACATGCCGAAGGCATGGCCCACCTACTACTATCTCACATATTTATTCCGCGTATTATTTTTATTAGGGGGGCCACATGCCGAAGGCATGGCCCACCTACTACTATCTCACATATTTATTCCGCGTATTATTAGGGGGGCCACATGCCGAAGGCATGGCCCACCTACTACTATCTCACATATTTATTCCGCGTATTATTTTTATTATAGCTTATAGTTCTCCTCGCCACCAAAAACTTCGGCGCGTAACTAGTCACGCACCATTCGTCGGATCGGGCCCAAAGTTGGCACACGCGTAGAGACCAATGGGGCGATGCGTGCTTGTATAAAACTTTCTCATTAGTCCGAAGGTTTGCGAATTATTAGCGAAAACGTCGCAAAAAATTCCCATAGGAAATGAATGGGGAGAGGAAAAAAACAGCATAAAAAACAGCGCTTCACTGTGTTGGCATACATTCACGTAGA